GATCCGCTGATTGTGGTGCAATGCTTTGCAGGCTCCTGCATGGAAACATTTTTTTTTTTTTTCTGCAAAAATATGTGCCTTTTTTTATTTATTTTTTTTTTCCCCAAAGGTGAACTTAACCTTTTAAATGTAAGCGAAAGAGGAAGAATGTCATGACATCCCAGTTACCACCCACTGTACTGTCAGGCCACAAACATTAAAAGTGGACCTGAGCGCAAAAAGTGAAGAAGTAGTATAAGGAACATCTAGTAGTGTTAATTGCGCCTAACCAAACAATTCCTCTTGAAAATAGTTGTGTGCTTCCAGTATGAAGCTGCTTAGGCCTTTAAGCTGTATATCTGCACTTTGGGATCTCGGGGACTGCTGCCTCTGACTGCTAGTCTCAGGAGATTTGGGGTAGTAGTTGATGTCACTATTGTGCTGATGAAAGCTGACATAAGGAAGCAAAGCCCTGCCTCTACCAAGATGGCTGCCTCTATACAGGGACACAGTGCAGAACAAAGAATGGTAAATCTGTAATGAGGAAAGGATCAGTGGCAGGGAGACCACATGTAGTACTAGTGACTAGTCTTTTGCCCTCTGCACCGCATCCAGAGTCCTGTTACTATTTAACTCTTTTACTGCCACTGATGTATGGTGTACACACTGGTTTTATGTACACTTCCAGGCTGATGTGTATAGCTCACAAGTCGACTGTTGGCTTTCAGAATATGATCCGGCTTTCACAGACTCCCGTGAGGGAGTACTGCCATTCTTCCCAGACTCTGCTGCCTCACTTTCAGGCTTGGGACCTACATGGTGGGCCTAGTCATGTAGAGGTGAGGAAGACAAGTGAACATCTGTTTGCTGATCTCCCCTACCTAGTAACCCAGAAGCAACGCGCATAACGTCACTTCTAGTTTCTGCTGTCACTCTTCTGGGCTTCTGTGGTTGAAGAAGCTTATGGAGCACAATCTGCACTCCATTAGCTTCAGTGGAGAGCAGGTGAAACTTCCCCACACACATGTAAATGCACAAGTCGGTGATGATTGCATGTGAAAATGTCTCTTGTGCTACACATGTTGCATATTGAGGTGAGAGCAATAATTCTAGGCCCATAACTCGATTAACTCTAAAACTGTGTCTTGTAGAGACTGGAAAATTTCAGGTACCATTGTTTACGTGCAATTGTAAGGCTTGACATCTTTTATTTTTTCACCAAAAACCTTCTAATTGCTTTTGTGTGCGCCTTAAAATTAACTATACTGTAGTGTATTTTTTTTTTATATTGTGAAAAAAGAGAAAAATCAAAACTACCACCATTTTATTCATCACAGTATCTGCTTTAAATATGTTTTAGGGTTTTTAGAACTAATCTTCAGGCCTAAAATTATTTTTTTCTTAATGCATGCATACAAAAAACTAAAACTGTTCTGACAGTGAAAGGGTTAGCTTAAGTGCGACCAACAGTTTGAACATTACCCAGAGATTTATCTTTTTGCTGTTTTATCAAATATGTGCTCCTGTAGAAACATCACGTTATATTCAGGCTCATGCACAAGGGCTTAATTCAATATCCATATACTGGATCATGCTGGCAGAAAGATTCAGCATACAAACAATGCAAGTAAAATACGTGTTTTTGCATATAAACCACTTGGAAATGGTAGACATTCAATCCAAGAAGTTGTGGAAAGAGGTGGCCAGCAGACAGGGTGATTTATCAAGTAAGGCAGGCCATATATTCTCTGATTTTCTTTCCTGCAACTATGGGTTGCAGGAAAGAAAATCGCTCGATTTTCCCCCATCAACACATTCATGTCACTCTTCTAAAAAGCAATTCCACACTCTGATTGCTTATCAGAGGCAATTGACAGGTGGTGAGGAGGAGGCCATTTACCTGAACAGGTTGAGTTCTTTGGGTGGTAGTGCCCACCAAATGTGACAGGGTATAAATCCTGCCATGGCATATGTAGGTCCCCATCCACTGCCTCATAACTAAAGTGGAGGTGCTGGAGGGCAATAAAACAGCGGCTTAACCAAGACGTTTCCTTACGCAAGTGTGTGAGCCCCAAGGGAAAAATTTGTCTTTGCAAATGGGGTTCAGGATGAGGTGGAATCCCTGTGGGTGGAACTCCAAAGGGAAGAGACATGTGGGAAAATATTATTAGGAATATGCTACAGACCCCCCCTAACCTGAAGGATGAGGAGGAGTTGGATCTCTAATCACAGTTAGAAATGGCAACAAGGCAGGGCAATGTCATCACAATGGGAGACTTCAACTACCCAGATATTGACTGGGCGGAAGGAACAGCTCTACTCATATAAGGCTCGTCATTTCCTAAGTGTCTTACAGGACAACTTCATGAGCCAGTTGGTGGATTCCTTGACTAGAAAAAATGCTAGACTTATTAATTACAAACACAGATCTGGTCCCATATGTGGAAATACGGGACACCTTGGGAAACCGGCAATCATAGGATAATTATATTCAGCATAAATCAAAGGATAGGGAGACACAGGAGTAGTACAAAAACACTAAACTTCAAAAGAGCCAACTTTTCTAATCTACGCTCCATACTACATATTGAATGGGACCAAAACCTAGAAACAATGAAAACACTGAGAAAAAATGGGAATACCTTAGGAACATATTAAATGTATTATCCAGAGTATTCCAATGGGCAATAAATATAAAAGAGTGAAGGTTAAACCTGGGTGGGTAAAAGGACCTATCAAAGAGAAAAGAATGTAAGGCAGAGGGGTCATTGTCCGTATTCCAACACTACAAAGAATGCAATAAAGCTTGTAAAAAAGCAATCGGTGGCTAAAGTAGACTACAAAAAAACACATAGCAGAGGAGAGTAAAAATAATCCCAATACATTTATTTATATATACACATTTTATAGTAAAAAAAGCAAGGACTGAAAATATTGGCCCCCTAAAGGATGCTGAAGGGAAGCTGGTTAGAAATGACAAGGAGAAGGCAACTGTATTAAATACATTCTTCTCCTCAGTTTTTACAAAGGAAAAGGAGGGGTATAGTGAACAGGACTGTATCATTAGTAACACACCACAGAAATGTACCCTTGTGGCAAAAGCCATTGCCCAAATAAGACTAGAAAATATCAACACAAATCGCCAGGACCAGATGACTTACATCCAAGAGTCAAGAGACTCAATTGGGTTATAACCAGACGAGCTATAACTAATTTTTATGCACCACATACTGACAGGAATATGACCAACTGATTGGCCTTCTCCAATGTGGTACTACTGTTCAAAAAAAGGGCAGAAACATATACCTGGGAACTACAGGCCAGTCAGTCTAACATCAATAGTATGTAAACTAATTGAGGGACTGATAAGGGACAATATCCAAGAATTTGCTGATGAAAACAGTATAATTAGTAGTAATCGGCATGAATTTTTGAAAGGTCTTCTTGCAAAACCAATCTGTTAACATTCTATGAGGAAATGAGCAGCCATCTAGAAGGGTGGTGGATGTGGTGTATCTGGATTTTGCAAAAGCTTTGATACAGTTCCACATAAACGTTTAACTTCCAAACTAAGATCTACAGGCATGGACCACAGGGTTTGTTTATGGATAGAAAACTGGTTACAGGGACACATCCAACAGGTGGTGATAAAAAGCAAGTACTCGGACTGGACTGAAGTAGTAAGTCTGGTACCACAAGGCTCTGTCCTGGGGCCGATTCTGTTAAATGTTGTCATAAATGATATAGAAGTTGGTATAAAGAGCTCAATCAAAGTATTTGCTGGTGATAAAAAGCTAAGTAGGGCAATAATTTCACAACAAGCTATAAAAACTTTACAAGAAGACCTCATTAAAATAATGTAAAGTAATGAACTTGGGGACTAAAAATATGGCTGTAGATTATGCGCTAGGAGGAGAACCTCTGGGGGAATCCAGGATGGAAAAAAGATCTGGAGGTCCTAGTAGATGACAGGCTCAGCAATGGCATGCAATGCCAAGCTACAACAAGCAAAATATTAGCATGGATTAAAAATGGTCTTTACTCAAGAGATAAAACTATAATTCTGACACTTTTCGGGCATATCTGGAGTATGCTGTCCAGTTCTGGTCACCAATCCTCAGGAGGGAGGTGCGGGAACTGCACTTTGTAAAAGTCTTGCTGCATCTTTAGTGCAGTTTTTCAAAAGTGCGCCAAAACAGCATGTTCCATTGTAATTCAATCGGAAAACCTCAAAAGTGCATCAATGTGAAAGGGCCCTAAATGGTTCTATGGGATACAAGCACCAGCTCTTCTGTATATGAGGACCTCATAGCTACAGCAACAACGCTATCTGTAGTATTTGACATATAAAAATGTGAATTAAACAAGAAAGAGAAGCAATCTGTATATTTAACACCCTTATCCCTGGTTCACGCTATATAGCTCACTGCACCACATTCCTGTGCAAATCACATGTGATTCTCAGTGGTGCGATTTGAGGCCATCATTATGAATGGGCTGAAATTGCACCCAAGAAGTGCAAGCACCTTTTTTTGGAGCCGCACCACAACTGCATTGCATTGTAGTCTTGTACCATGCAATCCGTTGTGGGCAAACCGCACTGCAATTGCGATGCATTTGGGGTTTTGTATTGACAGTTTCAGCAGATCACTAACACTTTGTGATTGCAATGCGATGCAGGAAACGTGTAGGAATCATTGTGTTTTCCACACCGCATACGTCTGAACCTAGGTGTAACCAGAGGTAACCTTTTTTTTTCCTTAATTTATAAAAGTGTATATGCCTGAAGTACAGATGGGATGCCATAAAAATCCTGTTCCATTTTTTTTTTTTTTTTTTCCCCCAATACACACCAATGCAGTGCATTGTGAATTGGTACCATTAAACTATGCTGGGACTGCTTTGCGCAGCATAGCGCAACGCAAGTGATGTGATGAGCCTTCAGGGTAATGACTTTGTTCGTGGGTCTCAGTGGTTTTATTTTTTAATCTTTTCTACAGATTATTACGTGGTTGAAGAAAATGTTTGATGACAAAGCACTGCCACCATACGAGGTCAACACACGGACAGTGGAGCTCTTGTGTCAGTTAGCAGAGTGGAACGAAGCCCGGGATAAAGATTTAACCCTCGTCATTGAGGATCAGAAGGTGAAAACTGCAGAAATAAAAGCTGAAGGTGATTTCATCTTATTAGCTGTTATGCTGAAATTGTCCAGATGCTTTACTATGAGCAGCATTAACTTGTCTAAGGATAATCATAAACCTTTTCTCTCAATACACTCAACCCCTATTTCATAAAACCCGCTGCAATAAACTCAATAACCTTAAGTGTTTCACAAATGTCCAAAATAATTGTGTCCAATAATTATATCAATGTCTTCAAAAAATCCTACAGTGTAACCAACTCAATTCACCGAATTTCCCTGAAAATATTTATTTTTCCTCCAGAAGACACACTATGGCTTATTTTCAGGGGATGTCTTATTTTTAAGTATGGGGAGAAGCAGCTTTACTGGTGTTTGTGGGGGGTGAGAAAGACCCACAGACTGTTGCTGGTTGGTCCTGGGGGAGAGAGACCCACAGTGCTGAATAAAACAGCAGGCACAGCTTTACTTCTTCCCCCTGAGGACACACAATATGGTACTTAAAGCAGAGCATCGTTCTCCTCACTTCGCTGAGGAGACTTTTTTACTTTCACTTTCTACGTCTTCACTGTCTCCCTCTATGAATCCGCTTGCAGCATGCACAGAATGACCGAATAACCGTGAGCTGAGCTTGTTGATGGGGCTGCCCATAACCTCTCTGTTCACCTCTGAGAGCTGCTGTCACAATGGGGGAGATGAGAAGGGCTGCCCGTCCATCACTATGCCTTCTATTCGGGATATGGCTTATATTGCACAAATGCTTAGAAATCCTGCTATGGCTTATTTTATGGGTATGTCTTATTTTCGGGGAAACACGGTATGTGAAAAATTTAAATTGTTTTATATACGTGAGTGACACGTGAATCATGCAAATAAATGTATTCACTCTGTGTGCTCAAAGCAACGTGGAAAACAGAACACACAAAAAAAAAAAAAAAAAAAAGTGTGTGTGTTTCAAAATCATTCAGTGAAAATACAACACATCAAAAGTGAAGTGAACACTCTGTGACCCCTTACACTAGTGGGATTAAAGGCAATTACCCTCTTGGAGTCAAAACAAGCATTTCTAAATGAACATAGTATTCCCCTGTCAGCTTTCAATAAACACATCAAAAGGTGAAGTGCACACTCTGTGATATTTCACACTGGTGGGATTCAAGGCAATTACCCTTATGCAGTAAAAACCAGCATTCCAGGATATATAATGTGTGCTTGGCAACTTCCATCCACCATGCAGGTAGTGCCCTTTTCAACTTCCCCAATTCTTCGTGGAGGTAAAGAAGAGATCCATCAATGTATATTATGAGGTATAAGCCAAAATTTATTAAGTATCTTACATTTAGGATTGCTATCTATGTCAGACCAGTCCCCAGCAGTTCGTATGGTAAAGTCCACCATTTACAAAATTCAGAATGGCTGCGCCGCTCCTTCCGGTTTGTCGTCAGATGTCACGTTACTGACGCGTTTGATCACTTCCAACTTCATCTCGTCACTTCCGACTTCAGGCTTTTAAAGGGCTTTATTTTCTCATTTCACTTCCTCACCACCTATCACAGTTTCGGAGGCCCTGAAATGTCAGGATAGCACCAAACCCCCCCACCCCCAAATGACCCCTTTTTTTTTTTTTTTTTTTTTTTTTTTTAAGTAGACACCCCATGGAATTTAAAAAGAGGCATGGTGAGCATTTTGCAGATCTATTTTTTTTTCCACAAGGTTTTGAAATTAAAAAAAAAAGTTTTTGTTTTTTTTTTCTCCCTTAATTTTCCAAAAACTTGTGACCACAAACGAGATCTGCAAAATACTCGCCTTGTTTCTTATCAAATTCTTTGGGGTGTCTGTTTTTCAAAAAGGGGTCATTTGGGGGGGGTTTGGTGCTATCCTGGCATTTCAGGGTCTCCAAAACTGTGATAGGTAGTCGGGAAGTGTAATGAGGAAATAAAGCCTTTAAAAGCCTGAAGGTGCTTATTGGATTTTGGGGGTCCTGTACTTGGCTAGACTGCCAAAACATCTTACATGTGGTACCCCCATACTCGGGAGAAGTAGCAGAATGTATTTTGGGGAGTAATTCCACATATACCCATGGCATGTGTGAGCAGTAAATCATTTAAGTGACAATTTTGTGTTTGTCATTTTCCAAAAACTTGTGGCTAAAAAAAAATAAATTCTATTGATTCAACATGCCTCTCAGCAAATAGTTTAGGATGTCTACTTTCCAAAAATGGGTTTGTTGTTGTTTTTTTTTTTTTTTTTTTTTTTTGGGGGGGGGGGGGGGGCATTTCATGCCCAGCATTAGAAGTTTATTCCACACATCACTCACTCTTCTAACCACCTGAAGATCAAGCCTTTTCTGACACTTTTTGTTAACATGAAAAAAATCTGTATTTTTTTTTTTTACTAGGAAGTTAATTTAAACCCCCAAACATTATATATTTTTTTTAAAGCAGACACCCTAGTGAATAAAATGGTGGGTACTATAATTTTTTGTCAGTACTCGCACAGCAATTTTTCAGAAGCAAATTTAAAAAAAATACTTTTTTTTTTTTTTTTTTTTTTTTTTTTTTTTTTAAACTTTTAAAGCACAAAAACACAATATATTGGCCAATTATTTGGTAAAATATAAAAGATAATGGTATGCCGACTAAATAGATACCAAACATGACATGATTTAAATCTGCGCATGCCCTGTGCAATGGTGACAAACTGCGTACATTTTTAAAAACCTTTACAAGCTACCATTTTAGATTTACAGAGGAGGTCTAGTGCTAGAATTACTGCCTTTGATCTGACATTCACGGCGATACCTCACCTGCATGGTGCAACCGCTGTTTACATACCGTCACAGGGTCAATGCTCATGCACACAGGTGGGGGGCGAGGGTTTTTTTTTGTTTTGTTTTTATTTGTATGCAGCCTGTGGGCTGAATGGGGGGGAAAAAAAGAGAAGAAATCTCTGCCAGAATATACCGCCCTGCATCTACCCACTTCTAATGGTGGGCACACATTAGGTCACACAATGCCGCATGCACCAGTTCCAAGATTGTACAAATGTCTAAATAGTGGCACGTTTGAATAAAAATTGTCCACGTATAAGTGGTACCCCATATGGCAATATGGATGGTCGTGTCTGCATGAATGGAAGACAAGACAAAAACATCTTGTTTGTCCTTCCACTTCACTGCGAGCAATTCATCATTTCTCAAGTAGGCTTTTTCCTCCTTTCTAAGACGGGTATTTACAAGACGTTGAGGGAAGCCACATGCACCAATTTCAAGATTGTACAAAAGTCTAAATAGTGGCATGCTTGAATAAAAATTGTCCACGTATAAGTGGTACCCCATATGTGGGGAAAAAAAGGTGAAAACAAGTCCCAAACTATCTTGCCACTGCTCCCCATATAGTCTGGGTATCCGGGGGGGCTCCACGTGACTATCTTTTCCCTCGTAAATCCGAAACTTATAAGTATAACCTGTTGCCCTTTCACAGGTCTTATACATCTTGACCCATATCTTAATGAGGGACTCATTCACGCAGATTTTTTGCTGGGGAGTATAGACATCTGCAAACTTTTGGTTAAGGTGATTTGCGAGAGACTGAATTTTGTGGCGCCGGTCAAATTCAGGGTCACCCCGAGGACGACAGTGTTGTTGTTGAAATGCATAAAACACACATTATACTCTCATATCTATGCTTGGCCATGGCAGCAGAGAACACGGGATATGATGTATGGGGTCTGTGAACCAATACAACCGCAATTCATTTTTTTTAGCAATGCCCATGTTGAGTGTTAGGCCCAAAAGAAAATGTAAATTCGGAAACCGTAATGGGTTTCCATGCGAATGTCTGGCAAAATTTGAATTTGGGTTGGCGGCAATAAATTGTTGTGCTTATAAATTTGCTTTGATCCACAATCAATGCTTACAGATCTTCCATGAAAAACGGCTCCAAAAAATCGAGGGGAGTAGTTAATTTGCTGTTTCCGCCGAAAATTCCGGGTTGGGCAATGAATGGGAGAAGAACGCATGCTGTAGAATTTGTGGGCTGCCAATCGGGATTTATAAGCACATCCGGAAGGATACTAGGGGCTCTACGGGCCTGTGTGCGAATTCTTGGTGGTTGTCGGACAATACTTGTGTTCGCCGCCTCATCAGCTTGTACTGCACTTGTGGTACTCGCCACATCACCAAGTCATACTGCAGTGCTGGTATTATTATTATACAGGATTTATATAGCACCAACAGTTTGCTCAGCACTCAGGGTTAGGAGGGCCCTGCTCCTTGGAGCTTACAATCTAAGAGGTATGTGAAAGACCAGGATGCACTAGGTTGCTGGTGCTTGGCAGTTCACCAAAAGGTAGCATGGCACTAGTACTGGCACTCTGCTGGATATGAGAAATTTTCAAAATTTACCAGCATGTGCTAACCGAGACCAGCGTAGGAGCTAAACGCAGGTGCCGGGGCTGATCCCGCTAATGCTGCGTTTTTTGGGCCGCTATACTAATGTGAACGCTGGTATAGTGCTGATCTCATCAGATATTGATCCATTCAGACACTAAACTAGCAATGGAGCTTATTGTGTATGAGCGTGTTCCTGGCAATCAAGGGGTTAAATGTGATGACTGGTATAGCTGTGGTAAATGGTACTTTACCATATAAAAAGGCCATTTATATGCATAGAGGATGCCCTGTTAAGTATCACAAGGTTTGGGATAGATGGATTCATTCTACATCTACTTGTGACCAGGAGGAGGTGGAATAATTATCACTTGTAAACTTATGTTGGTTGCTCATATGTTCCTCCTTTCCTTGCCTGCGGCAAAGACTCTAAAACAGTGGTTGTAACTGTTTTATTGTTGAGGTACTGAACTCCACCAGTTTCATATGCGCATTCACCGAACCTTTCTTAATTGGAAAAATAAAATATGATTTTTTTAAATTCAAAACATAGGTATATATTTATACATAGTGAACAAAACCGTTAAGAACAAAGAACAAAACCATTAAAACATGATTTTTTCACACAAAAACAAAAACATA